GCTGATCTGATGTGCGCAAAAGCACCCTATGATAAGCCACTTCTGGTGCTGGCACTGGCTAAACAATTGTATCAGGACGAGCAAAAAGACGCGGCGATTAGAGCCTTGGAAGAGTTGGCAAATCATTGGAACAAACGAATAAATCCGATTCCACATTCAACTGGAAAAGAAATGGTGCCTCCATCGACCAAAGAACCAGGAAGAATTTGTGCGAAAGTGCTCCTGAAACTCGGAGAATGGACAGAGCACAAAGCAAGAAATGCGAATATTCTGGTAATTACTCTTCTTTGTTCAATCAATTTTGCAATCATATTGTATTACAGCCAGCCGGAGAACTTTCATTCGTCCAACAACAAGTTTCACCGCCTTATCGAACTTCTAGAGACAACCGTCCACCAGAGACTATTGCATTCGAGAATACCATAAACTTTTATCAACAGGCTGCGAAATATGATCCAGATTGGCACAAAGTATGGCATAAGCTAGCGTCAACACACTTCTATGCAGTTTGCAGAGAACGGCCGCATCCGAGGTATTTGATTCTTTTTTTACACATAAATTGTTATATTCAAATTGCAGAATTATTCATCAAAAAGAGAAGCCGCCAGTGCTTTCGAAACAGGTTCCCGCATCGAAACGAGCAATGCCAGTGATCAAGCCAGCATCACCGCCACCGCCAGCTCAGAAGTCTCCACAGCCTGCTGCATTCCATAGTAGCACAAATACGGAACCACTATCTGGTAAGCATTTATCTAAGTAGATTGTAACTCTTGCGAAGTTTATATAGATTGCCCTGTTCCACCACCACTTGGATCACTCATCGGACTTGGACCAATGCCGAACTTCTCATCTCCATCTCCAGCGCAACCATATCACCACCATCCATCTCCACTGGCATTCCCATCTGGAAACACGATGTATTTAGAGCATGCTGCTCAAGCTGTTACATGCTTCTCAAAGGCACTCATGACCTCGCCTGGATCTCGACTTGAGGATACTCTTCGTTTGATGCAACTGTGGTTTGACTTTGGAGAGCATGATAGTGTCTATTATGCACTTTCGGATAATATTTTCGATCTTCCCGTTACCACGTGGCTTGAAGCGATTCCTCAATTGATGGCTCGTCTCGATTGTCCTCATGACCAGAGGAGCGTCCAGTTGGTGCTTCGAGTGCTTGGGGAAATTGCAAAGCATCGACCGCAAGCAATCATCTATGCATTGACAGTAGCATCGAGAAGTTCCGATGAGCATCGTAGTAAGAATGCGCATATGGTGTTAGACAAGATGATGGAGTATCATTCGAAATTGGTTGGAGAAGCGAAACTTGTTACCGAGGAGCTCGTCAGATGTGCGATTCTGTGGCATGAGCAATGGCACGACGCTCTTGACGATGCGTCTCGTGTCTACTTCCACGTATGTTATATTCTAATTACCGTTTCCGTTTTTGCAATGAAATTACTCAGAGACGTATGCAGGACAACAACGTACAAGCCATGTTTGACGCTTTGAGAAATATGAACGAAATGATGCAGAAGGGAGCGCCAACGACAATGAAAGAGCACAGTTTCCAACAGACTTATAGTGCAGACCTCAAAGAAGCAGGACAATATGTGATTGCTTTTGAGAGCAGTGGGAATGTCAAGGATCTGAATCAAGCATGGGAGATTTATTGCGCGGTAAACTGTTTCCTCCAAAAGCCTACAAAATCATAGAGCTATTTTTAGGTTTTCAAAAAACTTCGTGATCAATTGGCCACTCTAAACTCACTGGACCTGGTTTATGTGTCTCCAAATCTAGTCAGTGCCAAGGATCTGGAGCTCGTTGTTCCTGGAACTTATGATCCATCGGCACCAATCGTTTCGATTCAGAGTTTCAGCTCGAAAATGAGTGTAAGCAACTATTTAGCTTATCAGGTTCCTTATCTCCCAACTACGATTTCTAGGTCATTACAAGTAAACAAAGACCACGCAAGATGATGATCCGTGGTTCCAATGGACTCGACTATCAATTCTTGCTCAAAGGACACGAAGATCCACGACAAGACGAGCGAGTGATGCAACTCTTCGGACTCGTCAACACCCTTCTCGCCAATAATTCCGAAACGTGCCGAAGAAATTTGACTATTCAGCGTTACTCTATCGTCGCGCTAAGTAAGGATTCCGGATTAATTGGTTGGGTGCCGAATTGTGATACCCTTCACACGCTTGTAAAGGAATATCGAGAGAAGAAGGCCAAGATTCCGCTGTCTATAGAGCACAAAACGCTTCAGAAGCTAACTCAAGACACGGAACGTTTGACGACAATGCAGAAGCTTCAATGTTTCGAGAGTGCTCTTGCTGCCACACAAGGAGAAGATCTTCGTCAGGTGCTGTGGTTGAAGAGTCCAAGTTCTGAAGTTTGGTTCGATCGAAGAACGAACTACACACGATCCGTTGCTTGCATGTCTATGGTTGGATATATTCTAGGACTTGGAGATAGACATCCATCTAACTTGATGCTCGATCGTCTGACCGGAAAAATCGTCCACATTGATTTCGGAGACTGTTTCGAAGTGGCAATGCTTCGTGAAAAGTTCCCAGAGAGAGTACCATTCCGATTGACAAGAATGTTGATCAATGTGAGTTTCTAATTCTGTGACTTTTACGATATCATGTTATAGGCAATGGAAGTCACTGGTCTCGACGGTGTTTTCAACTACACAGCTGAACGTGTTCTGAAGATGTTGCGTACAAATCAAGAATCACTTCTAGCCGTTCTGGAAGCCTTTGTCTATGATCCAGTTATCAATTGGAGGCTGGTAGAAGGAATGAAAAAGGATCCAAAAGCGAAAAAGGAGCCAGGAGGGGGTAGAGCACATGTGATTGCTACTGTAAATGCGGTACTTCCATCGACGAGTACCACTGATTCAATCATGGAAACGATCAAAAGGAAGTTGGATGGTAAGTTTAAATACCATTAAACCTGTGTAATAAAGCTCCTGGTTTTTGACTTTGATCTCAATTATTTTGGTTCCTATGCCAGCTATCCAAAATATGTCAACTGATAAAATGTTTGGATATTATGATAAACTATTTATCAGTCTATGTATTTTTGATATCGTGCATAGGAATCGAGATAATTGAGCTCAAACTTGACCCTATGTTCCTTGAAGGACAGGTCCTTGAAGGACAACCCTTCTATTACAGGTTTACGGTAATTGCTGTTGTTTCTTTTTCTATCAAATAATTTTCCAGGAACCGAATTCGCTCAAAACGACGGATCAAATCCACTGGAAGCTCTTGCAGTTGCTGATCAGCTCGCACTGTTGGTTGAGCAAGCCACGTCTTCAACCAACTTGTGTCAGAGTTATATTGGATGGTGTCCATTCTGGTAGACGAGGATTCCGCCTTATTTAGATACATAGTTTTTCTTTGTAGAATTGTCTCAAATTGTATTTCTTTCTTTTTGTCTCTAACCCATTCTGTTGCGAAATTTACCATCATCGATCACCCACTAAACCTTTCCAAATCGAAACATTCCAAAATAAAGTTTTCTAATGGACCTCCCCTCTTTGCTCAGTTCTTCTTCTCCTTTGGCACCTACTTTTTAATTTCTTCGCCATGACCATAAGCTTTTGAGACAGATTATACTTTTAATTGTATTACCTTCATCCCGGCCCCATCCCGTTTCACTTGTCTCTTCTTTCTTTTTTCTTCTTCTTAAAGCAATACTTTCCCTATGGTTTTCTCATTTTTTCATGTTTAGGAACTAACTCGTATTGTACATACATCTTTTCTTTGTTTATCTAGAAAAAAAAACAAGCGAAAACGAATAATTGTTGTACACTGAATTTTCTTTGTTTTATGGAGTTTTTGATAATGGTGTCAATTACCATTCTATACTTTTTTTAAACTGTTTGGTTTCTTTCAAAGCTTGCAAATCAGGTTTCAGGGCGATGCGTCGGGCTAGGATTCAAATAAAACCAAATGTTGCAAAGGCAGCGAAACAAGCAACTCCTGCTCCGGCTCCTGTTGCTCCTAAAGTCGTTGAGACTGTTCCAGAAGCGCCGGCACCAGAAGCAGCAACTCCAGTTGTTGAAGACGTCGTGATGACAGTCAATCAGAATTCCTCTCCTGATAACGACGAAGAAGCATCGTTGGAATCAATGAAATCTCTTCACGTGGATGTATCGAAGAATCATCAGAATCATGTGCACTTCACAGACGACGTCATCGATCATGACAAAATTCGAAAAGAGCTGGTTACTGCTGCTCATAGCAATGTTTCATTGCTGTAAGTTAAATTCACATTTCCAGCTATTCATCATCCTTCAAATCTTTCAGTTCACCATCCTCTCAGTTCGCCACTCCTCATCCACCAGGTCGTCTGATGACTCCACGTTCTCGTAACGTCTCCATGTGTGAAGACGAATCGATTCTTCAACCCAAACAACAACGCGAAAAGAAGAGATTCTCTGGAAAAGAAGAATTGGACACCAAGACGTGGAAGATGTCCGACTTGACAAGATGGAATCCGAGAAATGAGATGACAAGCTTCAAACGAGAACGTCGTTCTTCGACCAGCTCCACCGTTATCACCAAATCGGAAATTGGAGATTTCGACGCATCTCCACGTATCAATGCTCCGCAAGTGAAAATTGGAGCTGATGGGAGATTGGTAATTGACGAAACAAGTTTGGTTGTCCAATCGGCACAAGTCAACCATGAATCCGTTTGGGAAACAGTTGAAGAGGGGAGAATGGGAAGTAAAATCACTTCCATGTCATTTAGAAATCGAATCTCCCGAAGGCCAACACTTTGGTCAGAAAGGGAAACTGACTTGTTTTATGAAGTACTCCAATGTACAGGGACTGATTTTGGGTTGATGCATCACTACCTCCCACAAAGATCTCGTCCGGAGCTCAAATCGAAATATAATCGAGAGGAAAAGAATAATTGGGCGCGACTTCTAAAGGCTACAAGCCATCCGACACGTCTCGATGGAGAACTCGAAATACGAATCGCTAAAGTTATGGCAGAGATTGAAGACGAAGCTCAGGAGAAAAAAGCGAATCGGGAATTTGAGAAAGAGGAAGAACGGAAAGTTCGAGAACAAATTCGATTGCAAAAAGCCGCTGAGAGAACTGATGAGAAGATCAAAAAGTTGCAAGCAAGAGAATTAGTTCGAAAGGCTAGAGAGCTAGAGAAAGATGCTCGAATCGCACAAAAGTTGCGTGATGTTCAGAATAGGAAGGATGCAGAGAGAGAAGCGAAGGAAAAGACAAAAATGGATGTGAGAATTCTGGCTGACGAAGCAAAACGGTGTGCAATGGAGGCGAAGAAAATTATTACGGAGAAAAGGAAGGCAGAAGCTGAAAGCCGAAAAGAAGCGAAAGTGCAGGCAGAATCTCATAATTTGGAACGAGAAGCCGAGAGAATTATACGTCGCCTGATTCAAGAATCTCAACGGGAAGAACGAAGATCCGCCCAATTGATTAATAGAATTAATAGAAACCCAGCAAAGAAGAAAGGCGATGAGAATGCAGGCGAAGCAGTTGGAGAGGCTGCTCCTGCCGATGCGAATTCCACCGCAGCAGTTGATGATACTGTAGATCCAATGGCTTCTGAAGGCGAAGGTACAAATTCTGAGTCATCTGAATCTTTGGAGAGCAGTGACGAAGAAGCCGTTCCAAACAAGACGGCCAAGAGGGAAAAAGAGAGAATGAAAGAGGCCAGAATTGAGAGGAAGCCGAGAAAGACTGTCACCGAGCACAAACCGGTTTATGTCAATCCGATGGGTAAGTGTTCTTTTCAGAATCTGATTCCCTGGTTTATCTCTTTTTTACAGATGCAAAGTATGCTCACGAACCAGTCAATAAGGCTCTGGAGATGGCATTAAAGGCAAAGGGAACTCTATTCGATAGCGCTGATGAGGATTTCGAAGTGCCTGAAATGGAACCAATGGATACCACTCCTGGACCAGCTCCACCTCCAGCAGCTGCTGTTCCAGTAGAAGAAGAAAAAGAAGAAGAGGAAGAGCCAGTTCCACAATCGGTTACCGATGTTATCGAAGAGATTGTTAGATGCAGAAGCAAGACACCAGTTATGGAAGAGGTGAAGAGTCCATCTGAAGATCATGAGGAGAAAAAGAAGAGACAGCCAAAAAGGAAATCAGAGGAAAAGAAGGAGAAGAAGGAGGATGGTAAGGAAAAGAAGAGCGAGCCGAAGGAAGTGAAAAAGAAGAAGAACAAGGTTCAAGATACTTCAGAGGAGCCTCCAGCGAAAGTGGCAAGAGTGGAAGAAGAGGAAATGAATTTCGAAGCTTCGAAGCCTGGTGAGAAATAGGGAAATCAATGAATCAACGCAAAATATCATTTTTCAGATGCAGTTAGAGGTACAGTTGAAGATTTCATCGACGTCGAGGCCGTTTCCCCGAATCCAGAGAAGATCGATCAAGGTGAATATTGATTTCATAGAAATATAAAAATATCTTTACTACAGAACCGTGCTGCTCTTCCTCCATTCCCTCAACGTCTTCTGCTTCTGTTCCTGCTCCATCATCATCAGAATCCACAGAAGAACTGACTCTCCCAAGCACCTCACTAGCCCGGAGAACCGTTAAGAAGCCAGTTTTCTGGCATAAGAAAAAATAAACTAAATTCTGTGAATTGCCTGTTCCCACATATCTCTGTTCCTTATGAATACCCTCTTTTCTAGTTCCCAAATGCTCCTCCTCTCTCTTTCTCTAGTATCGATTCTATTATTCTTTACGAGTGTTTTCTAATTTAAAAATAACTTTTCGCTTTTTATGATGAAACCTCATTTTTTGAAACTTTAAATTTCTACTGCTTTCTGATGAGTATTACCTATTTTTGTCTCATTTTTCTTCTTTTATCCAACTGCCCCTGGATACACCAAATCTCTCTTTAATTATGTTCTTCCATTCTTTTCATCTGGATCCTGATATTTCGAGAGAAATATCAAAAGGAAATTTAACAAATCCTTCGTTTATTTATGAAGAAAATTGTAGTTTTATCCATATTGAATGTGATGAGAAAATCGGAAAAACGACGCAACTTTTGAGAACGAATTGGCCGGAAAATGATATTATTTATGTGGGTTTTATTAACTGAAAGTTCTAGAAATTTTGAGAATTTCAGATTGTTGACATGAATCAGAGAAAGAGAACTTCAACACTTTATTTCAAAGTTCGATGCGATCGGAAAACACACGAATGGAAATATGCAGATGTTCAGAATAATTTAGAAATTGTAACAGAATATGTTATTTGTTATTCTGTCTGATCTTGTTGTATTTCAGATTTTGAACATTTTCGGAAATATTCATTCTGAGAAAGCCAGTTAAAAAACTAAATATTTATACATTTTTGTAGAGCTATCAGTTGGAGTATTTGGTTCTCCGGGAAAAGCAGTTCTTCCTGGAACGTCTTTGCCAGTTGAATATTCCTAAAATATCAATTACTTTAAGTCGAACGAAAATTATCTCACCACTATTTTTTTTCCAATCCTCCGTTTTTTTCTGTTTCTAAATCTCTGTTTCTGTTCGTGTCTTCTTTGTCTTCGATTGGAACGTGTCGTGTTCTGTCATTGGATGTTTTTCTATCTTTGGGTCTGCTTCCCTGGTTTTTCTTCGGTTCCATTTTTTTCAGCGCCGATCGCTCTCACGATCGTTCTACGCATCATTTTTGATGGTTTCTTACTTTTGATGAAGCGAAGGTAAGGTTATTATTTGGAAAAATGATGGTTCGATCTGGAAAAATATACCTTTGATATGTCATTCTAATTAATTACCTCCTTTTTTTCAATTGTTTTTTTTCCAGCCTTCTGCTTTTTTTGCTGTTTCTAAACCCCTATTTTTTCTCGTGTCGCTAGGATCATTAGTGGCATTAATATAACTCTTCCTGAAAAATTAATATCTTTATCATTCTAACTAACTAATTGTCAGCTATGTAGACTCTCTTAAGATCGCACTTAAATAGTTCTGAGACGATATTACTACTATAAAACTACAGCCGCCGGACAATAGAATCTGAGCTCACGAGTTTGGAGGCTTCAGTCAATGATCGTGGTTATAATTTTGTATACTTAATGTGAAGAAATATTTTTATTTTAATACAATAATTACAGTTAAAATTCTTTTTATGGAAAATGAGAGAGGTTTAGAAGCATCCTATGATTGTTGGTCACATTGTTGGACATTATATAAAAAATGAAACAACTCTAAAAATAATAACAATCCAGTGCCATCTGAAACATCAAATTTTTAACTTTTCAAATAGATTTTAACTTACACATGGAGTCCAGAATCTGTTTAGCCGTTTGTTGAAGCCCCTGAAATGATATTTTGATAGTTAATAAGGGAACATCAAAACTCGTAAATCCACCTCGAGGATTTGAGAGCGGACGAGTTTCACATCTTGGTTTGTGTCCGGGAAGTTGGAAAGCTGAGTTTCAATGAGGCCATCAACGTTGGAGACTGTCGGGAAGAAGAAGTTCAACGGTGGATTACCGTTACCATCGGTTGGTAACGCTTTGGAGAAAGAAGCTTCTACTGGATTTTTTTTGAATTTCCGATCCTCAACGTAGTTGTCCATCGACATCTCAAACATTGAGTCATCATCCGAATCCTCCATCTTCTCCTCATTTGGTTGAATCTTGTCTTCAGCCAAAAGAACAGCAGCTAAATCGGGATTGATAATTGTCTTTCCCTCCTTCAGAACTGCCATTGCCATCTTTGAGACTTCCTCCACCGCCTTATGAATCTCATCCTGAGTTGGCATGTTTGGTCTATAGAAACATTGGAAACCAATCTCTTTCTCGACTTTATCGTCCTGGTTTCTCTTCACTTGACGTACTCGTTTTTGCTTTCCTGGCAATTCTTCGGAAGTTGTGGCAGTCTTGCGTTTTGGGGCCATGTTTGTGAATTCAATAACACTGAAAAGAGAGGACTTGACATGCCAAACTTAAAAACAGAACGATAATAAGGATGAACAATTAAAAATTTATACAAGGAAAGAATACGACAGGCAACGCAAACAGTGTTTTTAGAAATCTTTAAAAAAAAGAAAAGCATCTATTAAATTAAGCATCTATTTAATTCTAATTAAATTAATTCTAATGAATTTCGCCAAAAAAAAAATTAATTCTAATGAATTTCGCCCGTGTTTTCAGTTGATTTCGAGCATTTTAAGGAGTCTGGAGCTCAGTTGTCAAGTTTCGGATTGCTTTGAAACTTTTGGAGGGTGTAAAACAAACTAGATTCAAAACATTGCATTCACAAATTTTTCCTAGTTTTCAGATATTTACCGATTTTCAAAATAACCCCTTGTTCACATTAGTACAAAAATGGGCGGAAAGAGGGATTTTTCAGAAATTGACAAATAGCTGAAAAACTAGGAATTTTTAAAAAATTCTGTGAATACAAAGTGTTCAATCCAAGTCTGTTTTACACCCTCCATACATTTCAAAGCGATCGGAAACTTGATAACTAAGCTTTGGACTCTCTAAATAGATCAAAGTTGCCGGAAATCAACAGCGAAATAAATTTTTATACATTTGTTATTGACCGCTCCCCTAGTACAGACTGGAAGTTTGCTACTGTAAAGCCTGTATTAGAAGGGCCCCTTTAATAAGTAGGCCCCTCTAATGGAAGGGCCCTCCGAAAGAAGCTCGGAAAAATAGAAGGGCCCATGTAATAGAAGGGCGCCCGTAATAGAAGGGCCCTCTTTGAAAAAGGTTTCCCCTTCAAAATGTGCTTTGAAATCAGAAAATTTTCGTACTTTTACAGCGGAAAATATTCCGGGAACTCCACAATTTAATAGAAATTTATTGAAACTCTATTTTTCTATAAAAATCTTGCTGAATTTTGATAAAATTGGCAGATTTTCGTGAATTATGAACGAAACTTCGTCGAGTTTAGATGCAAAATTTTGGAAAAAACTGTCCAGAAAAATAGAAGGGCCCGTGATAGAAGAGCCATCCGGAGACACCTTAATCCTTTTAACCAAGATACCGTAAACACTNTAATAGAGGCCCACGTTGTANTTGCACTGTGAGATCAATTGTCTCAACTTCTGGAAGAGATATCAAAAAGCTGTCAACTGATAAAATGCTTTTCATAATATAAACAACATTTTATCAATTGACAAGTTTTTGATATCTCTGATAGAAACAAACATAATTGAGCTCAAAGTGTGAGTACAGGGTGTGCTTCTATTAGAGTGTTTTCAACCACGTGGCGAAACCTCCAGAAATAACATGTCATTGACATTTTTGTGTAGTTTAGCGGATATGTATGAATTTGCACGAAAAAACCAACTACAAAATGGACGCTCGAATTTCGTTTAGTAGGCTTAAAATTTTTTCAGTATTATCAAACAAAATCTACTAAATTTCTAGTTATCCTAGGTTGACATTTTTTGCCTGAAATAGATGGAAGTGACAAATCTTAGGCCGTTACTGTAAATTCATGTTTTACATGTTCTCTCGAAAATAATCTTTTTTCAATCTCTTTAATTTCTCGTGTTAATTACTCACTCAAGTACCCGCAGAGAGTAGGTAGAATGGAACATATGGCAACGTCGGTGGTGGCGAGATAAGGCATATACACATTTGTGAAACTAATGAACGTTTTTGGACCACCTATATTGATTATTAAATAAGAAAAAATATATGAAGTCCAAAAATAATGGAAGAGAAAAAACTTTTGTAGCAAAAAAGTTGTAGCAAAAAAGTTTGAGCTATGAACAAGTATGAATAAGAAACTGATAAGAAAATAGAAATGCAAAGTTTGAAAACTAGTGTTTCGCGGCGGAAGGTTCGGATCAATAGGGCGCCTTTGTGGACATAATGCGCAACACTTTTATGGTCAAGAGAGAAGGGGAATTCTGGCAATGGTATTTAAGAATAGGAGAGACGGATGGCAAAAACATAGGCGGGATTAGAATATTTACCTAATTTCTCAAAAATATGCATCTGGAAAGTGTGTGTGACAAACAAGATTTTTGCCAAAACCTAAATTCCAGAAAAATGCAACAGTTGCTATTCTCTTGGACCGGGAATAAATCATTTCAAAAACTTTCCAAATGCTTTTTATGCACCATTTCAAGGAAGATAACTTTGACAATCATACCGAGCTCCTGTAGAGACTTTAAAAATTCATTTTCAAAAAGTTATTGGATTTTTATTTTTAAAATCCACTAATGGGCGGAGCCACGATAGTTGAATTTTGTTCCATAATTCTTACAAGGGAACTGTTTTCAGAGGGGCGTTGAGAATTTGCTGTGAGAAGTTCTATAGATGTTAGATGACTATTAAATTAAAAAAATATAAAATAGGTCAATTCATTTTGCAATTTTTGTACAATTCAGAAATCAAAATCCCGATAAGCTGTCTGAAACCTTCACCTCACTTTTTTTTTCCTTGTTTTATACTCAAACTAAAATCTATCGTTTATTCAGAGAAATACCAGATTTTTACGAATTAAACATTAAAATCCTGAGTTTGTGAAATTTGTGAAGATTATTTTACAGTTCTCTATTGTTTACGTTCTAGAAATTTCGAGACTCAAAAATTCAAAACAACTAATGCCTTTCAGCCAATGCCCAACAATTTCCACAAAATTTTTTCATAAAGAGTGAAATATATGACACAAAATCAAAAAGAACAATCAAAAGACAATGAAAAGTGAAAATATTCTGCCGTAATTAATATTGAGATTGAGAAGTTCTGAAATTCTGAGATTTTGAAGTTCTGAAATTCTGAGATTCTGCAATTCGGAAGTTCTCAGATTCTCAGTTTCGGAAGTTCCGAAATTCTCAGATTCCGAAATACTGAAATTCCAAACATCTGAAATTCTAAGAATTCTGAGATTTTCAAGCTCTGAAATGCAGGAATTCAGAAACTTCTTCAAAAAAAATTGTACCCCTGAATCACAAGCGTTGTACCCCTGTATGAAATGGGTTGTACCCCAATTTTCCGTTTTTTCTCAATTTTTCCCAATTTTTCAATTTTCCTCAAGTTTCGTCTTCTAAATTCTAAAATTTGCTAATTTCCGAATTTTCAAAGTCTCGACTGTCTGAAGTTTCGAAGCTGATTATCATATCGATGTAATTGTTTAGTTTTTAAAACAAATGCACACATTCATTGCTGAGAACAAAACAAACAATGCAGATATACGCAAAGAGAATTTTCCAAAATTGTGAAAGATAATTGAAGTGGTGAGACGTTGTGTAGATTCCTCTCGTTTATTGTTTCCTGAAAAAGAATTTGATCTCGAAGCAAATACCTTCAGAATTCACTCACGGATAGTAAAGAGCAACGTTGTTCTTCTCTCTAAACATTCTTGCAGCTGCCAGTTTGTTCTCAACAGTTCCAGATGCCTCGTGTAACTTGTCGGAGACTACTTGCAGCGCCTCTTCTATGCGCATTTCATCGCGAACTTGATCGAAACGAAGAACTAAATTGCGGCACAACATCCTGACAGTTGTTTCATCGACTTCCTGAAGACAAAATTATATTAGAAATTATTTCATTAGGTGTTGCTTACGTTTTTAGGGTGGTTTTCTGAAGGAGACACTGTCTTTGGCTCTTCATTGGTAGTTATCACTGGCGGAGCAGCCTGTTTGCTCTCATTGCTCTTCAAAGAGTCTTCGATAGTCTTGAGGAGACCATAATATGTGATCTGTAAAAACGGAAAATAGTTTAACAAAGAAACTGTGAAAGATAACCCACCAATGCTTTCTCTGCACACTCTCTTGCAAAATTACTTCCATCCAAGCGACACTGTTCAACGGTAGTTTTCAAGTCGTCTATCTTCTGTTTTCTCTCTTTCCATTCGATGACGTCTTCCGCGTAGAGCAGATACTTATCGACAGCAAGCTGTAACATCATATAACTTCGGCGTTGGGCAAGCTTCTACTCACAACTGGGAGTTCTGTAACTCGGAATTCATTCGAAACCATGAAATCAACGGGATCTTCTTGATCCAAAAAAGCCAACTTTTCGAATGCGATCAGACGTTCCTCGTTAGAATATGCCATTTTCATCTGTAACATTATACTTTAACTGATCACCGTACCACGCAAAGCTCACCGCTATCGGTTGTGCTTCCTCCATCTCATCGGCATGTCTCTTGTGATCTCCGATGAACGTGCATCTGGAGCAGAACACTTTTTCATTTGCATAAAACGTCGATGGCTCCTCGTAATTCAATTTCGGCTCGAAGAATCCCGGACATCTTCTGTGACGACAAACGTAGAGAAGCTTATGTGGAACTAGCTCGTGACAGGCGTGGCACTCGGCACTTTTTGCCTTCCACAGCGCTTCTTGTACGGTGGGATCTGGTGCGGGCGCCGGATTCAGATCAACTTGATTGCTGACTTCTTTTTTCGAGAAACAAGGATTTTTGATCATCGGAAACATAACATGATGATCACTGCTCGAACCGACACTTCTGCTTTCACTGCTTACGATTGACATTTTTATCTGCGAAAAAAAAGAAGTTGAGAGTGTTACGAATTATGAGAGTAATAATACAGAAGGAATTTGAAAAAGCAGAGAAATTGTATTATACTTATGCAAGCCAAAAATTAGCTTCTGTACGATTTAATTGCTCGAAGCGGCTGAACATTCTCTCTAGAAGCTTGGGCGGAAAATACGGGAGGAAAACATTGAAAATTCGATAATTTTGTTAGCTGAAATCTAACGAAAACATCGGAAGTTAGCTGAAACTCGCCGTGAAAACTGTCTGGAAACCGAAGATGACTCGAAAAGTTCAATTTCAAAGTGCTTGTGTTTGCGTATTTTCGCCGTTGCTTACCGTAGCCATGAAAGTAAAAACACACTTTTATAACAACACAAGTAATTTATTTCGTTGCTTAATTCGGTTATTAAATAGAAATGCTCATATAATTTAGGGCTTAAACATTCAAAGATTAGAAACAACTGAGCAGCCAATGAGAGAAGGGATCATGTTGGTGGGAGAATAAAGGTGGGGGCAAGAGAACATTTATGGAACGAATTGCGCTCAAACAACAACTTCTTCGGTCATGACTGGCACGACTTCGGTTGGAATTGCAGCGTTCTCCAAGATAACATCCTCTGGTTCATTGATGTTTCGCTCTACTTCCTTCGAGGCTTCAGTTGTCCCGTTGTTCTTCTCATCATTCTTCTCCTCAAACTTGTCCGCTTTCTGTTCAGCACCCGAAGTGCCGTTCCCCATCGAGCTTGCGTCTGAAAATAAACAATAAAACGTAAAAACTCTGAACACTGAACTAACCACTCTCAGCAGCTGGCTCCACTGGTTGCACCGCATTTGTCTCTTCAACCAATGCAGCGGTGTCTAACTGGGATTCGACGACACCTTTGCCGACGCCTTCAACAACAACCTCATTCTGTTGCTCCTCTTCCTCATCCGGATTGGTCCCATCCTCACCCACTTCTTCCTCATTGTCCAGTCCTTCATCTCCAACGTCTTCTTCCTCTTCTTCCAACTGCTCCTCATGCTCCAATCCGCTGAGCTCCTGCTTCTCTTCATTCTCCTCATCGCTAGCTTCATCGTCCTCTTGAACTTCGTACGTCTTCATAACTTTGGCTTGTGGTCCAGATGGACGAGCCGGCGGAATGTGTTCTCTCTTGCGGCCAGAGACGGAATCTGTAAATTATTCAGATAAACGCTTGTTTATTATTATTGTTGTCCGAAAAATTGGAGTTAGAGAGTATTTTTCGCAGTCTGAATACGGTAGGCACCTCGAAGCGGCAAGCCTAAATAGCACATACTCGGTGGAGACGCAGAGAAATTTTTTGTTCAACTGTCTGCGTTAAGGCTTCCATTTCGGTCGGTCGAAAATCGCCGACCGCCGATCAAAACGCGAATTTTTGCGTACGAAGCACTTTATTTTACGACAAACGAGGCATTTAGTGAGTAGTTTGTCGTAAAATACAATGCAGAGTATGCAAACACGTTGATGCGCAAATGCACGAAAACGGTCGGCGCGCCGACCGATCGGTCAGTTCGGTCGGCTATCGGTCGGCGGGGTCGGTGGTCGGTCGGTCGGCTAAATTTCCCGACCGAATGGAAGCCTTAGTCTGTGTCTCGACTCCAATTTTTTCGCACAACCATAATAGAAAGAAGAGCATACCATTAGTTGCTTTCGTGGCACCTGGCACGGACAAGTAAGCTCCCATTGTTCTGAAGAAATGATAGTAGAAAAAGTTACACAGTGATATACAGTGATACAGTGATGTATGTAAAAGTACAATAGCGAGGACTTGAAACCTCGTTAGTAAAAGAGAAAGCAAAACCATATTAAAAATGAATACTTTCAATAAGTGAAATTTTCTAAAGAGACTTTCTCAAAATCACATGGGACTGAATGGAGATCGAAGTATCAAAAATAAATACGGAAACATTATACTTCGTTTTGCAAATGGGGAAATACGAACAGTTCGAAATGATTGTACAGGAAGAGGAAGAGCGAAAAAAAAAGAAGATAGAGAGAGTGTGAATGAGGGATCACGAGAGGAGCCATGAGAAAAAAGTAGAGAACGAACAAATAGAGAGAAATGTAATGTGGAGGTCAGTTTTTTTTTAAAGAACAGGTTGAGTCATGGTCAACGATTTGATGGAGAGATGGAGAGTCGATTAGTGCAAATTGGATGAGAAGATGGGCCTGGAAATTAGAAAACTTTGATTACATTAATAAACTTAGATTGGTTTTGAATTATTTGAATATCCAATCCTACAGTAATCTTACAGTAAAGTTTTTTATAAGCCTTCCATTCCGACGTTTTCCTTATAATGCTATTTACCGTATTCTCTTTAATAGAAGTCAAGCTAACCGGTCAGCTTTGAGCTCAATTATCTCGGTTCCTGTGAGAGATATCAAAAATTTGTTAACTGATATATATATTAGAGATATTATGATAAATAATTTATTAGTTGACACATTTTTGATATCTCTCACAGGGATCGAGATAATTGAGCTCAAAGTTGACTTATGGGTGCGCTTCTTCTAGAGAAAGTACGGTAACTTTGAATATTTGAAAAAGTGCTTGTTTCATCTTTGTCGAATAGGAAATTTTCAGATAATATAAGAGGAGTCTATTTTTTTTTTTTTGAAAGGGGCTACTGTTTTGTACAACAAATGGTCGAAAAGCCAGTGCACTCAAAAAAAAAATAGTCGGCCAACTTTGAAGTCCTTAACAAGTAGCTCAGAATTTTTCAATTTGTCTGAAAGTTTTAGCGTAGACTAAACAAGAAGCGAGCTTCACTTTTGTAATTGAATGTTTCTTTGTGCCAAATCAACCAAGCAAGCTAAGGGGTTTTACAGCGGAACAACTAAAAAATCATCTCTAATTTAGGCATTTTTTGTCACTTTTGGGACATATTACTCAGCATGGAATTCGGTAAAAAAGTTGTACATTACAAAAACTTGTATATTTTCAGTTTTAGTTTTAAACTTTCAGAACTATGGAGAAATTCTAAAATCCTTATTCGAACTGTAATGACATTATGTATTGACTATATAACTACTGTAAACTCTAATAGAATTACCCTCAACTTTGAGCTCATATATTTTGTTTCCTGACAAAGAAATCAAGAAAATGGTCCATTGACAAAATATTAATCATGATATCAAATATATGTTGTCAGTTAAACATTGTTTGGTATCTTTCACAGTAAATGAGATACATGAGCTCCAATTCTCTTCCACCCAACTCACTTTTTTATCTGCCTAATGAGGACGTCGATCTCGGTTGTATTTCAACGTCTCGAGTGCGACGGTCATCGTTTTCAAACGAGTTTCCAGAATGTTCACATGAGTACGTGACTGAAATGAAAGCTTTTTTCATAACATATCTACAGTAACCCACTCTATTTGTCACTGGAACATATCCTTCCTGAGCAATCTCTGCCTCATAAATCCGTTTCACATCTTGCCATTCCTTTGCGTTTGTATCGAATTCGAAGTATTCATCCAATGCAGTTCCCAGGAATTTTGACATCGAGTTGACAAGATTCAAAAGAATAATTCGATGGGATCTTGCGACAATGTTGATGTAGTAGTCACCAAGATCTCGAACACATCCAGTTCCAGCTATGTAGATCCGTTTCTCTTCCTGAACGTTTATTGCACTCGGCAACTGCCTTTTAATGTAGCGGTCGAGCTCTTTGGCCATCGGACTATGAGATCTGACCGTCAATCCAATATGATCAGTGAAAAGGAGAACAGTTTTGAACTTCTCTCGCATCAGGTAATGGTCCGGATGCTCGAAAAAGTACTCGAGAAGTCCATGCTTTGTAGAACAGGCTTCCTGTAAATGGGTTTTTTGCACATATTTAAAAAAAATCCTTACCTCAATCTCTTCCTTATTCCTCAAAAAGTGAAAGAATATCATGACATCTCCCATTTCCGCCATCACATTTCTTGCTTGCACATCCTTATAAATCCCCTGAAGATCTTGGTTCAGTGCCAAAAGGAATTCCTTCTCACGGCTCTTCTTGAATGCTTCATACAGGGTCCTCTGCTCTCGTTCCAAATCATTTCCAGCGTCATCCAGGTATCTCATATTCTTTATAGCTGCAGAGAGCCCTGCGAAATTTCAATGTTTGTTTACAATTTTTAAAATGACACCTACATTTCTTATTCTGCTTGTCCTTGTTCTGGCGCCAGAGTGCGTGCAACTCGGTTTTGAACAAGAGATACTGAAAATTTCCAGAATATTACTATTTTAGATAAGAAAAACTCACATCTGCACTATTCTCTCCTGGTGCTGGATAGCAAAGCTTGTTCAGAATCTCTTCGATATCTGTTGGGACATCAATTGGTCCATCGTCTCCTCCAAATAGTTTTCGACTTTGTTCAAGTCGTTGATTCAGAATTCCAACTGAACAATAATAGCTCATTCTGAATCTCTGTATTTTTTCAAACTCACTGAATTCTGGTTTCGTGTTTTTTGGAATCGCATATTGTCTAGAAGTGTATGGTGGTTCACCGGATACCACAGGATCCCGTTGGTATTCTGGAGGAGGAGCTCTTGAAGTCGAAGGTCTTGGTTCCGGTTGAATGGGATATTCAGTGTATGCAGGTGGTGGAATATCCGAAGTACTCGTGGATTGAGATGTTACATGCGCTGGTTTCGTTGGTCGGTGGGAGTTCTTTTTTTTGTTTCTCTGAAACGTTTCCAGATTTTTATGAGAAGTATTGATTTTTAGAATGATCTTTCTCTTGAGAACTTGAAACCAAATTAGCAGCAGTGATAAATTAAAAAAGGCTTGATGATAATTAGGAGTTGAAACAGAGAACCTTTTTGGTATTTACGAGTGTCTTCCGTGTTTATTTTTTCAACAAAAACTGACGTCTTCTAGAACTTTCAGAATTTTTAGAATAAAATTAATGAGTGTTGCAATATTTGAGAGTTATAATCAAGAACTACAGGGAAGAAGGTCCACCGTAAAGGCTCTGATGAAGAACTGAAATTTGGGTAAAATGTTACTGAGGTTATGATTAAGATTTTATCAGTTGAACACTTTTTGATATCTTAAAAAAGAACTGAGATAATTGAGCTCAAAGTTAAAAGTTAGGGGCCGCTTGAAATAGAAACGCCGGTGGCCGTGGCCGAAGGTTCAAAGACAAAAAATACCGTAACTTAAATATATAGATATATAAACTGAAAACGCACAAAAATAGAGACAATCAATCCAGAAAATTTGAAAAATTGTGTATTTTCTTCGATTTTTTTTCAAATTTTTTATACTTTTCGTTATTTTTGAGTTATTTTTGAAGATTCTTTTTTCATTTTTCCGAACTTTTTGTCTGAAATTTAACGGGATGATGTTATTGACGGAAGATTAATGTAGATTACTGTAGAAAACCTTGTAGTTTGTAGTTTATTTTTGCTAACAGTCTGCATTTTGACGTGAATGTGTTTGTAGAAAAGCCTACAAAAGGAAATTTGTTTTCTACAGTAATCTAGAGTAATCCAAACACCGTTCCATCAAATTTCAGACAAAAAACCGGAAAAGTCGGACAAGAATATTCGAAAACAGCTGAAAAACCTAAAGGTCTAAAACCTTTGCATGAAAATAAATGAAAATAGGTTTTTCTCCGGAAAATCACAAAATTTTTAGGTTGTGATAGTTTCCGTCGTGGGACCTTCGGCGCCGGCCACCAGTGTTTTCTTCCACAGAACCGATTTTTTTACCAGACTGGCAACTATTGAATACAAAATTTTTTAAAATTAATTTGACATATTTATGACACCGTTCAGAATGCATACCCTAACTCCAAAAAGACTCCAAAAAATTTCTTGTCACCCATCCCTGAATTAAAACTATAAATTAAATACAGAATTTTTTAAAATAATTTGACATTTTTATGAAGCAGAATATTTTCCAATAAAACGTTCAACAAAACAAAAAGAATAGTTTGACCATACTTGTAAAATTCCGGGCCGGGCCTGAAGAAATTTTCAAGGCCCGGGCCCGGCCCGGAAGGCCCGGTGTAAAAATTTCTGTATTGTTGAGCCAAATTTTGAGCTCTCAATATAATTTTTTCCATTTTTTTTGTATTTCGGATTGTTTGTCTGTCTGATCAAAAAAGATCGAAAAACTCGAAAAAAATTTTTTTGGTCGAAAAAAATCACATAAGGGTTCCCCCTTATGTGTTTTTTGAAAATTTCGAAACTAGTGAAATGACGGGCTCCGAAATTCCGGAAAAAGCCCGGCCCGTTACAAGTATGAGTTTGACACGATTTCCAATAGACAACCATGTAGGTAAAAACGAAACTAATCGAAGTGTGTGTGTTTTTTCATCTCTATTTCTCTTCTATTTCCTCTTTTTTCGCTACCTACTTGTCTCCTTCTCTTCTTTCTTTTTTATCTCTATCGACGACCGACCAGGCGATAAACCGTGTACAAGTGCCCTTTTTAACTGTCATTTCCTGCGATAAGAACCAATTCCTGACTTTTGGACCCTCTTTTGTCCATTAGTAGACTCCAAGAATGTGATTCATGTGTCTAGACAGAGTGCCAATCACTATGGAGACTTCATCTTTTTCTTTTGAAGCACTCGACGAAAAAGCTCCAAACGTCATAAATTTTAATTGGAGTAATAGGAAAAAAGTCGGATGCTCAAATGGGAGTAATAATCAGACACCCAGTAGAAGGCGTTATGAAAAAAAAACGAAAAAACTGAAAGACCTGTGTTCAAAACATATCATAATAGTCGAGTCATGTTTAAGATTCTAGTGTCCAAACATCGGCTCAGAGATTCAAATATGCCTTTTCTGAAACCAGAAGAAACGGAAAACTATGATTTTTTGATCCCAAACGATTACAACATGGTGCATAATTTTCCGGGCTAAAGTTTGTACTAGCATAAAGTTTGAGTGAGGCGTTGTACTAAGCTCAATTTTGGAGTGCGAAAATTCAATCAATTCATCAGTAAATTGGTCAAGTTTCAAATTTTTTTTATTAACTTTGAGCTGAGTTATCGCTTTTCAAAGTTGTTTCATCCCATGAAAATTGCAAGAAATATTAAACCGTTTATCTTTGAACTATTATAACATTAACTAGACTTAAGGAACAGCTTTGAAAATTTCAGTAGACCTGAATCAAAAATAGACTTTATTTGTATCAATTTTCTTGCTTTCTACATACTTATGTCTAAAGATACACCCGTTTTTATCAGTCGGGGTGATTGGGTGTCACCCTGTAGTATATTCGAAAAAGGAGTCATACTTTATCGTGACCCTATTTAAAAAAATTCCCGAAATCTAAAAAAAGATCCCTAAATTTTTGAGCCTCCCTTATCCCAAGTCAAATCAATCTCAATCTAAAAATGCAAATGTCTTCTTCTTATTTTCCTTTTTTAGGAGGCCATCTGTTCTTTTTCACCGCCACTAGAATAAATGTTCCTCCATCTGTACTCACCCGTCCCATCGTCTTTTTTTTTGTAGAATTCCTCCTTCTCCTTCTTTCCTCCAAGCCGTGTGACGGAGAATAAAAAAACGAAGAAATTCGAGTTACCTAAAAATCGGTTTTTCAGTATGTTTGAAGTGGAATTTCAGTTCAAATTTTAGAGCAAACGAGGTAAAAGATACATAAAATCAAGAATTGAATAGAAAATAGGATAATAACCTTCTCTCTTTTTCGAAATTAGGAATAAAGAGAGAGAGAGAGAGAGAGCCATGGCGCAGAATAAGAGGAAGGGAGATGGCCAAAAAACAGAGAGATTTAGAGAATCGTGCAAAAAAAAAGAAGGAGATGGAAAAGAGAAAAAGACCCTGGACATGGGACCGAATGAAAAAAAAGAGAAAGAGAGGACGAAGGGACGAGAGAGTGAGAGAGGCAAGATTAGAGATAATGAGATGAGGAGAGGAAATCGAAAGGATAAGTTATAGCAGAAAGAATACAAAATAGAGAATCAGCTGAAAATAGAAGTATAGACAACAAGAGAGCAATAAGAACTAGGGCAACCAGAAATTGCGGAGCCATTGAAGAAAATGAAAGTGAAATTGGGTGAGCTAGAGAAAACAAATCAAAAAGGAGTATAATCAATGACTTTTTTGAGGATTATTGGGATAACATAAATTACGAAGGAGCCACTTGGAATCCTGTCTTGAAGAAATCTTGGACACCGTAAACTCTCTAGTAGACCGAGACTTAACTTTTAACTTTGAGCCAATTTATCTCGGTTTCCGGGAAAGATATCAGAAGGTGGTCAACTAATAAACATTTTATTATAATGTCCCAAATATTTTTTTAGTTGACTACTTTGCAATATCTTTCCCAGCAACCGAGATAATTGAGCTCAAAGTTGACGACTTGGGGTGGCATTTCATTTGAAATCACAAAAAATAGTTAACTGAATAGAGCAGAAGTAGTCGATGTGCTTTTGAGAAAACTGTTATGTATATTGTCAAAAGTAATGAAAACCAAAATTACAACTTTTGTTCTTCAAGCGGTTCAAAATAAGAAGCGACCATAGTACCGTAAATGCTCTGATAGAAGCCGGCTCAAAGCGTTATTTTCGAGCTCGATTATCTCTGTTCATATAAGAGATATCAAAAAATGTTCAACTGATAATTTATTTATCAAAATATCATCAATATTTTATCAGTTTACAGATTTTTGATATCTCTTATAGGAACTGAGATATTTGAGCTCAAAGTGTACGTATACAGTAATTTTTTGAAATTGCGTCCAAATATAAAATGTTTTTTTTAAAGTATGTCTTTGAATTCTCTGAACACAAATGAAAAAATCAATCAAAAATCAATAAAAAATCGAACGTTTCTGCAAAAAAAAATCAGGTGAAAAAATTACACACGTGGATCAACAGCGAAAACGAAAAAGGAAATATTCCCATATAATTTTTTTCTTTCCGTCCAATTCTTCTACTGTAATTAAAATTCAAAAAAAAAAAGACATCTGGAACCGATTCAACTACAAAGATCTACGAGAATTTTAACGCCTACGGAGTCGGAGACTATCAAAAGAACTTTGCCAAAAGCCAAATTGTTCATTTTCCGCCGTTCGGATTCAAAGTTTTTTTCAACTTGACGCCACTCAAGGACAGCAACAAGGAATCTCTCATTATCAACATGACAGATTTAGATAATCTTCTGAAAATCAGTACTAGATCGGCTTATTCTACATGTCTAGATTCGAAAGTCCATGATTATTACAAAGAAGTATTTGACATCATGTAAGATTTTGTGACCTGAAAAATAAACAAATGTTTTTTACAGCCACGGACAAAAATCGGCAGAATATTCGGAGCAACTTGAAATCGAAATGAAATATGCTGGAGTATCTTATGGAATCGGTACAGTAAAAGTGAGTTTGTTTTTTGAAATTTTTCGGGCGGCCAAAAATCGAGAAAAAATTTTTGTATTGCCCCCGCCACCACTCAAAAACAACTGATTTTTAAAAATATTTTTAGGGTTTCATGTGTTCGGTCAAGAAGGAGAAAGGGCAAAAGACAGTTAAGGATATTGCCGAAATCACTTCACAATTCTACATACAGCCGGTCAGCAAGGAAAAAGAATGTCTTGTTAGTTTTCATTCGAAAAACATTTTGAATCAAGATTTTTAAGGTCAATACTAATTCCACCGGACTCTCTCGCAGTGATGATCTTGAAAAGGGATCACGAGCTGAAAAGAGATGCGAAAACAATGAGCTCCAGGAGAACAGAGCTCTAGATATTGAAATTGTTGAGAAGGTAATTCAGCTAGTTTCATTGTATTGGGGTAAAAAATAAAGGAAAGAGATTATGATGTTCAAATAAAAAATGATGGAAATAAATAATAGGTTTCAGGGCTAGAAAGGAGGATTTTCAGATAATATTAACCTCATGGGATTGCTTCAAGTCTTTTCGCAATTGCTGGAAATACAAAATGAAAATACAATAGATTTTTTCACAGTCATTTTGACAAATTTACCGGCCTCAAGCGAGCAATCAAATTCATGTTCAATTCTCTTGAGGTGTTGATAAGTTCCTGAAGATAATTTTCCTCGTGCATTTCATCCGTTGAACTCACAGCTTGGAAGCTGTTACTTAGCTGACGCCTGCAATGAACATTTCGTTGAATCTTATTATTCGCTTATCGCATTACATTGTCGCGATGCTCTCAATATCACATCAACCGTGATTTCGTTCCATAGAAATGATTGATTGCTTGTCTGCAATTATATTGATTCAGAGGTGGAAAAAATTGAATAGTTTTATTACCAGACTTGGCACCGAAAATTTCTTCATCCAAGCCCTTTTATTAATGATCTGTTCGGCTTTTGTAACATCTTCAATGTCATCTAATTTAAATGTTATCATGTGCTTATTGTTAGCACCTCCTTTAATCGGAAGTCGATCAACAGATACAATAATTGCAGGCCCGGAGATCCTGCAAGAAAACATTTTAATCCCAAAATTTAAAAAAGCTCTACATACTTGCATTGAGCCAGAAGTTCAGCCAAAACATTTTCAGCTGTGCGATTCCGGAACCTTGTTTCAACATTGACAAACGCGAATGTCTGGAATTTTCAATTGGAATGTTTTATATCGAAGGTTTGCAGAGATCCAAAAAATCATCTAAAACGTTTTTGGAGGAATTTTTTCTAGGAATTTTTCGAAGTTTTTCTTTAAATTTATTCAAAAAATCTACGAAATTTTTTTTTCAAAAACGAAATTTTCTCCAATAAGGCACACTGAATGTAACTTAATTTTTTATACCGCAAGATTATTTTTAAAATTACTACCTGTCTTGCCTCATCAACTTCATTATCCTCATCGCCATTCATAGCATCATCATCATCATAATCACTTCCGGACCCACTTTTCTTTTCAGAATCCATTTCCTCGCAATCCATGCTTCTTTCGTCGGTTTCTTCATGTTCTTTTGGTTCGCCTGGCACGTCATCAAAAAAATCTGCCCACTCTTCTGAATCGAAGGATCCATCGCTTGCATCGTCGCTGTTATCAGATGAATCGGGAATCTGCAAAAAAAACATTCAGACAATTCAAGTTTCTGTAATTTTGAGGCATTAACATCAAAAACAAAGAAAATCTCGGGGATTTTATAGTTTCATTTTTACCCAACTTTTTACCCCAATACAATGAAACTAGCTGAATTACCCCTTTACGCTTTTGAGCCCCGACGGCTATGGCTGACTGATAATTCAGTGAGTCAAGGGTTTAGCTGCGTTCGAAAGTGTACTATTCACTCCAAATACTCGTTCGTTCTCATCTCATCAACGGTATCCAATTTTTATCATTTTTTACAGGGAAGAGGTTTAAAACTGGAATAGTCTGGCATTTGAAAACCTTCACAATTTTTTTAATAAATTTTCTTAAATGTTTTAAACTGGAATGGTTCGGCAACGAAAATTCTATACTCGTTGACTGTTTTCTTTATAAATTTTACTGTTTCAAGGTTTTCTCACATTTAGATTTATTGTTGCAATGCCACTGTATATGTTGAGCACCCCGCTTTCAGCAATTCCTTCATTAAGTCATCGATGTCTATGCATTTATTCTACAGGTTCCAAGATAGTTCACTTTTCTAAATTCCGAAGAAAACGGCAGCGTTTCGTTGGGCCTGATAAGAAGAAGGTGAGAACTTAGGAGTTCTCAAGAGACAAGAAATCCACGTGTAATATGTGGAGGAAATAGAAAGGGTTAGTGAACCAGGGTAGTTCACGTCACCAAATAATAATAATAATAATACATTCAACTTATAAACCTCTTCCCTGTAAAATATGATAAAAATTGGGTACCGTTGATGAGATGAGAACGAACGAGTATTTGGAGTGAATAGTACACTTTCGAACACAGCTTAAACCTTTGACTCACTGAATTATCAGTCAGCCATAGCCGTCGGGGCTCGAAAGCGTAAAGAAAACCAGGAGAAATGTCAAATGAATTCTAGGAAAATCATTCAAAATCTAAGACCTAGACATAACAAGTAAAGAAAATACAAAATAGCGAAAATCCGGCTTTGGAGCATTTGGAGCACTTTTGCTATTTTCAGTGACTCGACTTCGGTTCACATCTTCCAGTTTCACGACGTTTCCAAGAACAACGACAGTGGACCTTAAATAAGTTAAAAACTCAATCGAACAGATCATTGCAGAGTCATAAAAGACCCGAAAGAGTATTTGCTTACTTGTGACTCTGGTGCTCTTGGGGACAGTGGGTACGTATGGGAAGCAAATCTGAGAGAGGGTCCGTAATGAGACCCATGTCACGAACGGTAGGGGAAGCGTTTATGATACTACCGGATATTGTAAAAGGGTGGGCTGAATTATGAGATCCTAATCGGAGAAGATCTGTTTTTTTTCTTCCCTCTGATCGGCCTCGTGAGAGGCATTTTCGGAGCCCCTTGTTTACCACTATATTTTCAACTTATGAATAAAATAAATTACAAATTACAAAAGAAACATTTTGAGAAACAAGGGCTTCGAATTTCGTACAATAAGATATAGTACCAGACAGATAAATTTGTCTTCAGCGCATCAACGGTCGTCGATATTTGTTCTGAACAATTCCTTTACAAACTTTACTGTTTCAAATATTTCTTACAGGGTGTTTCAAATAAGAGCTCCAATTATATCGGTTACTTTTGATATGCCTAGACATCCATTTTGAAATACTCCAATGACCCAGAAAACCTGAAATTAATTTCCGGAAGCTAATCGAAACTAAAAATAGTGTTTGTTCGCGTCAAGATACTATTTAAAAACAAACTTCACAAATTTGGCTGTCTGGTACTATATCTTATTGTACGAAATTCGAAGCCCTTGTTTCTCAAAATGTTTCTTTTGTAATTTGTAATTTATTTTATTCATAAGTTGAAAATATAGTGGTAAACAAGGGGCTCCGAAAATGCCCCTCACGAGGCCGATCAGAGGGAAGAAAAAAAAACAGATCTTCTCCGATTAGGATCTCATAATTCAGCCCACCCTTTTACAATATCCGGTAGTATCATAAACGCTTCCCCTACCGTTCGTGACTTGGGTCTCATTACGGACCCTCTCTCAGATTTGCTTCCCATATAAACAAAACTACAGCCCTTGCTCTTCTCCGCGCCAAACAACGTGTGAAGTTTGTTTTTAAATAGTATCTTGACGCGAACAAACACTATTTTTAGTTTCGATTAGCTTCCGGAAATTAATTTCAGGTTTTCTGGGTCATTGGAGTGTTCAAAATGGATGTCTAGGCATATCAAAAGTAACCGATATATGCAATTGGAGCTCTTATTTGAAACACCCTGTAAGAAAAATTTGAAACAGTAAAGTTTATACAGGAATTGTTCAGAACAAATATCGACGACCGTTGATGCGCTGAAGACAAACTACTTTTTCGCGATACTTGCTGGGTATATCTGCACAAGATACAATCGTATCCTCTGAAAACTAATTGAAATGAATAGGCGTAAAAATCATCGGGTTTGGAGCGGATAGAAGCGGAGTACCCAGTGTTAAGCAAGAACTTCATCAAATCATCATTCCAATGTCAGTTAGTTTCGCAGATGGTCGTTCGTTCCTATATTATAGTATCCTGTATATCCTGTATTAAAATGCAAAAATAAAATGTTTACTGTTTCAAAATTTTCTTAAATATAGATTTACTATCATCGGGCGTTGGTAATACGTAAAAATCGATAAAAGTTTTACTGTTTCAAGTTTTCTTACAAAGTAATCGAAACCAGAGAACATAGTCTCAGCTGAAATGCATCACACATTATTGCGTCTGAAAACATTAATTTTATTGGCATTAACATAGTTCTGACTCATATAAGGTTGTTCAAGCTACGAAGAAGAAGTTGTCCGTTATTACAATGGTGTCGCATGTATTTGCTCGAAATAATTCCCTTACAAATTTTACTGTTTTAAATTTTTCTTACAGGGAAATCCACTTTTCGACTTTTCACTCCATGTATTCATTAGTGCTCCTTCTCATCAACGGTATCCGGCATTGGAATGTTGCTATCGATACAAACTCTGCAAGGGTGTTTGCAATAAATCGATAATTGTTTTCTTTCCTGGAATTTACTTTGAACAAGTAAATCCATCTGTCGGATTTGATAATCGATTCGCATTCTTCACTTTAACAGACAACCTGAATGTAAATGCTTTACGAGCCATTGTATTTATGAGAAATCGCTAAAAAATCTATTTCATACATTCCCAGAAAGCAGTGATGGCAACGGCGAAAATAATATTTTCTTTAATTATCAATATGTGAAGGAATCCATTAGAATACTATTTAGTGATTATTAACCTGTCAGTTTTTATTACTTCTTCTGATTTTTGTGTTCAATTTACATCAATAATTAGTTACACTAGAAAAGGACAACAGAACTCTTATAGATATATGTTTCCCAGAAAGCAAACAAGATGTACCAACTGCACTTTAAGACTGAAATTGTGATCATGTGAAGGGACCTGGCAATATACTGTACATTGGCCTATATAATTTACGATTATCTTATAGTTCAGATGTAAGTAATGTTTCCTATAAGAACGGAGATCTGGTATCCTAGAACTTTTAAGTTAATCTGACGCCAGAAGATCGTTTTGTTTTGAAGTCTATGAATATGTTAAGAACAGAACAAATTTTTCAGGTTATTAGATTTATGTAATGATTATTAGGAACAACAGAAAAAGAAAATAATAAAGACGTTCAATCAATTATTGAAAGACTCGATCCATTGGTTGTGCATGAAAGTGCATCTTTGATCGCAGTCGATTCCGATGTTTTGAATTCCGACAAAGTGTTGAATGTAGGTTTGAAGAAGAATTGGAACCATTTGGACGAGATGTTTCATTTCTTCCGATTCGGCTTTTCTTTTGAAATAATCGAGAGTGATGAAGTAGACTTTTGGAAGATCCTTGACTTGTTTTGTGAAGATATGAGCATTCCAAACATAGACAGTCACATCCTTCAAGAATTGATGAATTTGGTATTCCAATGTATTTTGATCCTCCTCCAATAATCCATTTTCTCCTTGTTTTGGGAAACCATCGTTCTCTCCGAATTGAGTGAGCAATCCCATTTGGGTCATACGTGGAAACATGTTGAGTAGAGAATCCTGATGATTGATTGAATTTAATTCCGATTTGAGTTCATTGAAAGCAATTGTGAACCACATTGGAAGACGAGGACGTTCTGGATGTTCTCCTTGAATTTCAATACTGTGTTCCAGGAAGAGATCCGTTTCGTTTCGAAGATATTGAGCATTCGCTCTGACACGCTTCTTGATTCCAGTGTTGTCGTCATCAAGAGTGATTCCATGGATTTCAGCCATAAGAGAACGGAAATCGAACATAATGGTTACAGAGAATAAGAGAGACAATAGGCAGGGGGCACAAAATCGGAGAGAAAGGCGGCGAATAAAGTACAAGAATAAGAGCCCGCTCGCGGCTGATATCTCGGCTCCCGCTATTTATCACGGTAAGTTTCTTTAATACTTTCTTTGGGTTATAACACCATTATTCAGTTGCTACACCACCTACGGAAATTGTGGTTGGCGGCGAGGACACTCTACCATGCTCCGAATCGCAATCTGATCGACAAACTGTCATCACCGACTCGTTGCCATATCGAGAGCCAAGTGATAGTGAGTGACCTAAATTTTACAACAAATAAGACAACCTTTTTAT